ATTTAAAATATAGTATTTTCAAATATATTTTTAAACCATGTTATCAAAAATTGAAGCTAAAAGAATGCGATTAATTTTTGAAAATAAATTAAAATCATTCTTTCCATTTCATCCTCAAGCCAATTTTGAGGTTAAATTTACATTGAACACTATTTTGTAAAATGAAAAATTTAAAGATCACATCGGATTATTCTTTCTTATTTCTTTTTTTTCAAAATAATCAAAATTTTTAGGAATACGTTTTGAAAGCGTCGCCCATGTGACGACAACGTGACCATGTTAAAACGGAAAGCTGATCATTTTAAAAATTTTCAGTTATCTGTTTTGGATAAGACTTGTTTTTTATGTCCATCGTCTTTGTCAAATTGAACTGAATTGTATTTTAATGAATATTGTCTTGAAAAAGGTTTATTAAACCGAAACGTCAGACGTCGACATTTCATTCTTTTTAAACAACATAATTGCATTTAAGGATTTTTGTTTGTTTTTTCCAAATTTTTTCTTCATTCTGTCAGATTATATCCATTTACATTTATATATATATATATATATATATATATATATATATATATATATATATATATATATATATATATATATATATACTTTAAAAGTAAAGTCTGATGATCCAGAGCCCTTTAAAAGGGCTGTTGGTGAAATTTATTACATGGAACCTTTTAAAAGTGGTCTGTTTTTTTTATTAAAATTTATTTGCCTGAATTTACATTGAGCTCTCCGGATATCATCCTCCTTGGGTCTATCCATACGGATTACCTAGTTTTGAAAAAACTCTCTCTCTCTCTCTCTCTCTATATATATATATATATATATATATATATATATATATATTTGAATAATCAGAACTGTGTTAAGTCGATCTTTTCGCATGTAAACAAAGGAATGAAATATATGAAATGGAAAAACAAACCAAAAAATATTCTTCTTCAATTTTCATTTATTTTGCAGATATTTGACCACCAGAATTTCAGAGAATTAAAAAACATGGTGTTTGCCAATTCTAAATGGCACTGGCCCCCTATTTCCAACCAGTACAAGAGGTGAGGGTTCTCTTTCTTCGACTGCTATAAACGGGGTGCTGATAAATGAAGTACTGATGCGCTCATGGAAGGAACTCAAAATCCCCATTTAGAAGGTCAGCGCTCAGACAAACATCAAACGGCTTTGGTGACTGAACAAGAAACTGTTTGCCATTTCGTCTTTTATTGCCTTGCTGCGCATAACTAGAAATCCATTTGGAAATTTAGTAAATATACACTATTTACATTATTTGGACTATCGTCCACGTCTTTGTTGCCATATTTATCACAACTTTTCGGCCGTTGTACGCTCCGGCCTTCTTCAGTATCTGTCCATATTTCTGAGATGAGGTATTATGTAGACTATTTACATTATTCGGACTATCGTCCTCATCTTTGTTGCCATATTTATCACAACGTTTCGGCCATTGTACACTCTGGCCTTTTTCAGTATCTGTCTATATTTCTGAGATGAGGTAGTATGTACACTATTTACATTATTCGGACTATCGTCCTCATCTTTGTTGCTATATTTATCACAACGTTTCGGCCGTTGTACGCTCCGGCCTTCTTCAGGTGGTTGAAATGTCGAACAGAACCCTTTATTTCGCTCGCTGGGGTAGACTGTTCTAGTTCCACATCTTAATTCCCCTCTCTATGTTCTCCACAGCCTGGCAGTGACGAATTTGGAGAAGGGAATTAACAGGAGATAACTGATAAGTGACAGCCATTAGACATGGCACGTGGAATGTTTTTAATATGGACTGACGTTTTGATTCATGTATGTAAGCCGACTGACAAACACAAATATGAAAACATTAGAACTTCACCTACTAGACAGACACGCATACACAATTATGAATACAAAGTACTGCCCAATGCCCGCTTAGAGTTATTAAAATTTTTACAAACTTACATACATATAGAATTATCTACGGTTTAATGCACGTGAAACATGACTGACCAATAAGAATCGAAAAACAAAAAATTGAAAATACTAAAACTCTATCTATTTGTTTGTTTTCTCTCAATGTATGACGAAGTTTTAGTAAAGGTGAAACATGTTAAATTGATAAACGTTTCCTATTTGTTCTTCATAATAAACATATCATATATATATATATATATATATATATATATATATATATATATATATATATATATATAATATATATTATATGATCATGACATGTCAAATATTTATCCATTCATATGTGTGTAATGAAAATCTGAAGATGATATATATATATATATATATATATATATATATATATATATAAAATACAGTCGTCTCAGAAAATAAATAAAATTGATTTATAATGATCAAATCAATTTCAAAGAAAAAAGTTTTTTTGGGAAAGAAATGAACATGAACGTCTGTCGAAAAATAATCAATTCCAGCATAAAGGTCCAAAGCCCGAAAAAAACCTTTCAAGTAAATCAACTATTTAAAAAGTGTTCAATAAAAAGTTAAAAAGACTAAATAGGTTAACCCTAAATTGCCAAAAAACTCCAAGAATCGTCTGTTTTTTTCCCTGACGATCCGCTTAAATTGTTCGTATTTTAAAATCTTTTTTAGAATTATTGATCTAAATATATATATATATATATATATATATATATATATATATATATATATATATATACCATGTAGAATATGAACGAATAGATTAAAATCACAACATTCGTAACATTTAATTTAAAATAGGACTCAATACAAATTTTACATAAATTAATATCCTTATATATTAAGACATTTTAATGTTTTTACATTCTTTTTATAGATACAAATATTTAAGTAAATGCTGTGTTAAAATAAACAAATTTAAATTTCCTGAATCTCCGAAGATTTTCATAGAAAATATTCGTCCTCCGACAGGATTCGAACCTGCATCTTAAACGGAAATCATTATTGAATGCCTTTTAATTGGATTCGACCACAGAGGATCGTTCTGTTGAACACTGTCAATTTACTTTTTAAATATTCAATCATCCATGAATCTCTCATAACATTCATATCTGCTCGATGCGTATCCAAATGTAAACAAATGACGTCACACATTATAAAATGGACAAAGTCCGACAATTATTTTAAGACATTTTATCTTTATACATTCTTTTTTAGATACAAATATTTAAGTAAATGATCTGTTTATAATAAAACAGTATTCATCATGTGTGAATTTATCATTCGTCACAAGTGGGAAAAATTTAAATCTGCATTATAAAATTGAAAAAGAATTTTCTCAATCATGTTTTTTACAATAGTTGATTCGGATTCCGCAAAACTGGGTTGGTGTGAAAACAATTTTTGAAACATTCTTTTTTCATTCGTTTTTTTTCCAATTATGAGTCCTTTTTAAACTGATCATTTTGTTTTTTCATTTTGTTTAGTTCTTTTTTCTAACAGATTTAATGTTTAGTATAGATGCTTAGTGTGATATAGACAAGAAGTTGATATGTAGCAACATCAGCACGGCAAAACACTCCTTTTTAGGCAAGGAGGGGCAAATATATTTTAAATCAAGTGATCGTTTTGATTTTTGAATCATTATAAATATAACAGGCCATACTGATATTATATATATATATATATATATATAAAAATATATATATATATATATATATATATATTCACCACTCATTTAAAGCCAGGCTCAAAGCGAATGTTAACAAAAATCGTCTCAAAGGGTTTTAAGAAATTATATTCTCACAGGACGCTCTTCATTTGTGACCTTATGTCAGACCCAATAAAAATATTTTTTTAATCGATTGTTTATAAGTTAGTCTTACAGATCGTTGCTTATTTACGGCTTTCGATCCTCAGTGGATACATTATTATCGATGCAGATCAAAATATAAATATCTGATGAGAATTCGCTAAAAAGCGAAATAAAGCAAGTTTTTTAACTTTAATTTAAAAACCGGTGTAGACATTCATTATTAAAATAGATTCAGTCAATATTCAACAAAGGTATACGCTATAAGATCACTAGATGAAACCTGATCAATTTTCAGAATACGTCATGATTATATAGTAGGACTTTAAATTATTTCAACTATTTGCTTCCATACATGTAAAAAAAAAATCCGAAGACTACACTTAGGGTTTGTGTCAATTTTCGGGATTAAAGAAAACTGATTCAAAAGCTGAGTTTTCGTTTAAAGAAACCGTTGAGGTGTTAGCACGAACAAATTTATCCTGAATTTCGGTTTCAAGGCGTGACTAGCTAAAAAAAAAGCGCATAGAATTGACTCGCTCTGTTCTGCACCCTGATTAAGATTTAACATTTATATTTTATCAGAAGAAAAAAAAGAAAGGTATTGTGCGTCACATTGGAAACGAAGGACAACAATAGCAACGACAAAAAAGAATAAAAAGCGCAGCACAATGATTTCTTGCATCCCAACCAGACAATTAATGGCACTTAAAGAGAAGCGAACATTTGGATCAGCCGGTGGAGACAGTAATACGATTGGCTTGCAAGAAATAGTATTGATTTTCTCGTTTTTTTTTTTTTATTGTGCCGAAGAATCGATTCTCAAACAATCTCCAGAGAACAGACAAAGAAACTAGCAACGTGTTTAAGAGAAAAAAAAAGAATAGCTGCAAAACTGAATTATTGTTAATGGAAACTCTGATTAGTACAAGTTTTTCTCAATAACAAAACCGGCGACAAAATAAATTCAATATAAAAATGTTTTATCCGAACAGTTGGATAGACAACATTCTTTTAAACAAATGTTTTTGCCGCTCGATCTATCTAAAGCTACTGCGATTAAAAGTTGAGATATTTAAAAACAAAAGAGATAAAATGTTTTAAATCTTTAAATTGAAATCGCTAAAGAAAGCTGAATGAAGTCGGTTAGGTTGCGCATCTGAATAGATCGGATGCCATAAACTTCAAACATTTAAAGTATAACGTCTTTGTATTGTTTCACGATGTAAAATTATAACCGAAGTTTGTAATATTTCTGATATCTATCTATCTCTCTATCTATCTATCTATCTGTAT